GGCGGGCTGGGACGGAGGCGGGGGAGAGCTGTGCTGCCCTGTGTCTCCTGGGCACCTTCCTGTGTTTGTGCTGCATCGGCTCTTTCTAAAAGGGTTTTGCACCAAGGTCATACAGAAAGGGACCGGTCCTTACTCTGCCTGCACCACCTGCCAGCACAAACAACTGGACAAAACGCCTGGGCTGAGGTACCGCGTGGCCTCGTCGCTTGGTGTCTGTATTCACGTCACTGTACTCAGTGACATAAAGCATTTGCGTACATCAGATCCCTCTCAAGAAGGGAGCCTTCTGACCCTGCTGGAGCAGCAGGAAGCTGATTAGAGGTGGTTAAATGATTCGCAGCTGCAAGTTCATTATTCTGATTGTAAAGTTCCTTCAAAAGGAGAGAGATAAGAAATGGCTCTTCAGAGACGACAATAGTATGTTCTTTTCTTTTGGTATAGTTGCATGATTTTAATACTTTGAACACTGAAGGGTTATTTTAACATAGATGTAGGGTGCTCTACACTTGCCGTATTGCTTTTTTCCAGTAGGTGTGGAGCTGGGAACGGATGTAGCAACTTCGGTAACCAGGCTCCCTGCCTGGGACTTCCAGCTCTGCTCCAAGAGACCAGGTCTTGCACAACCACGCTGCGTGTGTTGTTACCAAGCAGTTCCTCTCAAACGAATATGACTTCATTAACCAGCTTCACAAAAACTGTCAGAGATGTAGCAGCCTCCGCGGTGCCGGTTCCTCCCCCATTTGCTTGGTGGCAGGCGAGGGAGAGAGCAGGTCCCCAGCGAGGGGACGGGGACCCGTGCGATGGCTGAGGATCCCTGAGGAGCACTTGGGAGAAACGCACAAGAAATCGGGCTGTGCTTCTGCTCATGGAAGTGTTTGTTGGGGAATAAGAATTAAATTCAAGTTAGATGTGTCCATGCTCCTGGCCAGATTGAGGCACTCTGGTGAAGAGAAGTGCTGCCGAGACCAGCTATTTACTGCGTGGAGCTGCAAGAAATTCATGGGAATGAAATGACATTTACAGTCGGCACACGTCCATGGCTGACTCCTCATCTGGGTAATCATAGCTCTGCGTTTTACAAAGGGCTTTTCATGCTGAAAGATGTCAAAACGCATGCAGACGTAAGTTTTGGTCGTGGTTTTGAGGCTGTCAGGACCAGCAGTCTATGCTTTCCTGTTAACCCGCTTGTTAGAGGGAACATCTCCCTTTCAAAAAGTTACACAAAGCCCGCAGGAGAGAGAGAGTCCTAAACCAGATATTTTATTTGACTGTTATCAGCCCCCAAAAACGTTGGTGAATCCAATATTCTTGTATTACAACCATATGGAAATTTTAACAGAGCTCATATTAAAGCAAGAGCATCCAGCGGAAGGTTGCATATAATGATGGCAAAGTTTGCCACGCTTTTACAAAAACGTAAGCTTTTGACAATCACCTCGAGGAAATAATATTTTTCAAAGGCAGCTCAACATCGCCAGGCTGCAGATTCTTACTGAAGAAAGCGCTGTGGGTGTAAGGATCAGCATAGGACGTGCAGTTAGGAAACCATCATCGGTTTTCCATCTGAGAGCAAGCCGTCCCTTAGAGAAACCATGCCGGGTGAGGGACATCTCTGCACCCCCGCCGCTGGCACACAGGCAGACTGTGGATTTGCCCTTGGTGTGCGCCGTGCATCTCTCCGTGCAACGGCTGAAGGAAGCCAGACCCAGCTTGCTGTCGTGTGAAAAAGATGAGTAGCAAGAACAGGCTCTGTTTGGTTTATTTGCCCCAGAGTAATGAGTTCTAGCAGTTCTCCAGGAGCACGTTGGGAAATACCTGTAAACTGCGTTATTTAATTTCCTTGCATTTTTCCAACATCTGAATGAGAAAACGTTTCATTAACTTACCTTAACAATGTTGTATTTGGGTTTGTGGTTTGTTTGTTTTTCTAGCAAGAGACATCTTGTTTATAGAAACCCTCCAGACAGTTACATTGTGGAAATGCCATTTGCAGTGGTATGAATTCCAAGTTTTCCAGATAGTAAAAACCCCCAACTTAGTCGTAATGTCAGGTTTATGCTGTTATTTACTCGTAACATAAAATGAAAGACTCAGATGTCTGCCTCCACTGTGCCAGCTCCATTCAGATCTCCGCTTACGCTTCTTTATTAGTCTAAACAAAATAAACGCTCACACGACAAAGCCCACAGGAGCAAGTCTGTGAAACACATTTCTTGTAGGTGAATCAGAGAAGACATCTGAGCCTTGGGTGCTTGTTCTCTGAAGAGATTTTGCTAACTCAATTTCCTCCCCTAAGCGCATCCTTCTGCAGAGTAATTCCTGCGGACGCGTGGTGGGGACGAGCGATCACCGTTTGTGAGAGGGGAGCATTTACGTGGAGCGCTGCACGGGAATCTCGATTTCCAAATTTAAATTGTCTTCACTCAGATTTGCAACTGTAGCAAACCGCCAGTCTTCAGTGGAAATGCCAAGCTGTGGAAGTGTAATTAGTATTACTTGCATAGGAAGGATGAAACTCATTTTGCCTTCGCTGCCTTTTAAGGCTAAATCCTTCGCAATCACGAAGGCAGAGCCAGCACCGAATGGCACAAATAAGGAAACCGGTTATTCTTTCCGAGGAAGAGAAAAACGCAACTTGGGTGAGTTTTCAGAGCCATTAGTCTGAAGTTGGCCACATGCTCCCACTTGATATTTCTCACTGCTGATCCAAATCCAGCTCCGAAATGCCGGGGCTGGCTCCCACCGTGCCCCGGCAGCTGCCTGCACCGGCTGTCCAGGCACCGCACGCCCGCGTGCCCACGCGTGCCCACGTGCCGAGGAATCTCAGCTATTTCGTTACGGATGGGGAGCTGCTGCGCAGAACGGGATAAACGCTGCTGAAAGCCCTCGATCACCACCAAGAGCAGCAGGAAAGCAAGTATCC